GTTTTGGGGTTTTTTTGGGGGGTATTTTGGGTGCGTTTAAGGTTCTTTTGGGGGGATTTTTTGGGTATTTTTGGGGATTTTTTGGGGGGAATTTTTGGGGATTTTTTGGAGGATTTTTTTGGGGTGGTTTTGGGGTTTTTTGAAGGGAATTTTGGGGTTGGTTTGGGTATTTTGGGGTGTTTTGGGGCAATTCTAGGGGTGTTTGTGGGGGGCATTTTTAAGGTGGTTTTTGGGGTATATTTGGGGGTATTTTTGGCTTTCTGGGGAATTTTTGAGTGCATTTTTGGGCCAATTTTGGGAGTAATTTTGGGTATTTTTGGGGTAATTTTGGCTGGTTTTTGGGCCATGTTTGGGAGCAAATTTGGGAATTTTTGGGGTATTTTTGGGTTATTTTTTGCTGGTTTTTGGGGATTTTTGGGATTAATTTTGGGTATTTTTGGGGTATTTTTGGCTGATTTTTGGTCCAGTTTTGGGAGTAATTTTGGGTATTTTTGGGCTATATTTTGGGGTATTTTTGGGTATATTTTTGGGTATTTTAGACTGGTTCTTGGGAGTAATTCAGGGTATTTCTGGGGTATATTTAGGGGTACTTTGGGGTATATTTTGAGGTATTTTTGGGGTATATTTCGGGGTATTTTTGGCTGGTTTTTGACAATAATTGTGGGTATATTTTGGGGTATTTTTGGGGTATATTTTGGGGTATTTTTGGCTGGTTTTTGGCAGTAATTCTGGGTATTTTGGGGTATATTTTGAGGTATTTTTGGTGTATATTTTGGGGTAATTTTGGCTGGTTTTTGGCAGTAATTGTGGGTATATTTTGGGGTATTTTTGGGGTATATTTTTGGGTATTTTAGACTGGTTCTTGGGAGTAATTCAGGGTATTTTTGGGACATATTTTGGGGTATTTTGGCGTATATTTTGGGGTATGTTTGGCTGGTTTTTGGCAGTAATTCTGGGTATTTCTGGGGTATATTTTGGGGTATTTTGGGGTATATTTTGGGGTATTTTTGGCTGGTTTTTGGCAGTAATTCTGGGTATTTTTTTGGTATATTTTGGTGTATTTTTGGCTGGTTTTTGACAGTAATTGTGGGTATTTTTGGGGTACATCTTGGGGTATTTGGGGGTATATTTTGGGGTATTTTGGGGGTATCTTTTGGGAAATTTTGGGGTAGATTTTGGAGTATTTTTGGCTGTTTTTTGGCAGTAATTCTGGGTATTTTTTGGGTATATTTTGGGGTATTTTGGGGTATTTTTTTGGGTATTTTTGGCTGGTTTTTGGCAGTAATTCTGGGTATTTTTGGGGTATATTTTGGGGTATTTTGGTGTATATTTTGGGGTATTTTTGGCTGATTTTTGGCAGTAATTCAGGGTATTTTTGGGTATATTTTGGGGTATTTTTTGGGATATTTTTGACTGGTTTTTGGCAGTAATTCTAGGTATTTTTGGGGTATGTTTTGGGGCATTTTGGGGTATTTTTGAATGATTTTTGGCAGTAATTATGGGTATTTTTGGGGTATTTTTGGCTGTTTTCTGGCAGTAATTGTGGGAATTTTTTGGGTATATTTTTGGGTATTTTAGACTGGTTCTTGGGAGTAATACAGGGTATTTTTGTGACATATTTTGGGGTATTTAGGCATATATTTTGGGGTATTTTTGGCTGGTTTTTGGCAGTAATTCTGGGTATTTTGGGGTATATTTTGAGGTATTTTGGGGGTATATTTTGGGGTATTTTTGGCTGGTTTTTGGCAGGAATTCTGGGTATTTTGGGGTATATTTTGGGGTAATTTTGGCTGGTTTTTGGCAGTAATTGTGGGTATATTTTGGGGTATTTTTGGGGTATATTTTTGGGTATTTTTGGCTGGTTTTTGGCAGTAATTCTGAGTATTTTTGGGGTATATTTTTGGGTATTTTTGGCTGGTT